AATAACCCCACTAATATCCACTTTACTGTATAAAATATTTCAAAATTCACATCACCTCTGAAAAATTCCTTAGGAATAAACTTCTTTTATTTCCACAAAATATTTATAGATATATGGTAATGGGCACAAACACCCAGTCCCCAGAGGGACAAAGGCCATGCCCCTTTCCACTCAACCCTGAAGCATTTGCTAAATGAGTAACTTGACAGAACTAGTACAATATCATAGCAACTACAGAGGCAATTATTCCCAAGAAATGTTGTCACAGACATATTGTTTCCCCTGCCCATTCCTTCTTATTGTAAGAAACATTAGTCATATTATTTACTGAATACTTTGTTCAATAATACTATCAAAGTTATATTGAAATTTAGATCATAGAAGGAATACAAGAAATAAACTTTTTGAATGCAAGGCAAACTCATAGCCCTGTTTGAGATTTGAATATATATGACAGAATTGAGTTTTAGATCTCCCATTTGAATCTGGAACTGTAGATATATTTCTTAGTAAGTTTCCAATTGTAAAAGTGTTACCATTTATTGTTAGAGATACAACTAAAGTTGAATAATTTATTCGTATGATCAAGGTCCTTGATCCAGTCCCCAGGATCACACTCATATATAGCCCTATACAAATAATACACAAGGATATTAAAGTGTACTAACTTACTATGAATAATTAAATACATTTTGTACTAATATAAATTATGTTGATGAGATGCATTTAACAGATTAAAAAGTTAGTACTGCACATTTCAGAGTTTGGAAATGGAATGAAAGATATAAGTGGACAAAAAAACCCCAATAAAGTGTAAAAGATATTATTTTTATTTTACTCCAGGTACTTTATATATAATAAAATGAAATATTTTAAAATCCATAGTTGTTAAGTTTATAAAATTAGTGTATTTCCACTACAAGGCTATAAATTAACTTTAATATATATTTAAAGGACTAGAATTTGCTCAATTTTTTTTATATTCAGTTTAGAAATTTCATAGTTTTTCCTTGATTTTATTCCTTACTATGGAGTCTTATTATATTATCCTTTACTAAGTTCTATAAAGAAGTTATTCCAAACTTTTTTAAGTGCTTAGAAATGAATGTTAAATTTCACACATGCTGCACAAGTGCTCTCAAATCATCCTCTGAGTGTTTAAGCATCTTGATGATGGTTTCATCTGATGAATAGTAAGTATTCCAAACTTTGAAAGAATTTACGTTGTACAAACATTACTTAAAATGTGATTGTATCATTACCAGTGAATACAAACACTGTGTCTACCAAGATCTATAATGCCTGCTAGACTCATATACTTACAGCTATATGAATTTCTTACAAGATTGAGGAAAATAGTAAGAGCTTATTTATGTTATCTAAAATCATTGTGAATGACCATAGAAGTGATGTAAAATAACAATGTATTAAAAACATACAAATGTGTATGTCAATAATATTTTTCTTTCCTTAATTACTTTTATTATTTCTACAGTACTTCAACTATCAAGCAATGCTGCTTGCTGTACTGTAAAATTTATATACTCTTAAATACTATATCCATAATACAAAACAAACTAAACTGTCACTTGACCAAATAAAAGTATTTAAAGACTACTAATACATAATTAATATGAGGTCAGTTTATCCTAGGAACAAAGCAGAAAATGAAATGAAAAAATAAGGACACAGGTTCTAGGTTTACAAAGACATATATTCAAACCAATACTTTGATAAGTCCCTCATTTAATAGATTACTAAAATTATTTACATTCAGAAAAGCTTCACATTTCAGTTAAATTACCTAGTGAAGTTGTATATGTATACTGCACTTGGGAGAATCAGGTAAGGAAACAGGTATAATTCCAGTTATAGCCTGAGTTTTGAAGCTAGATGTCTTGTTGCTAGTCTGTGTTCCTAGATTCAAGCTGACAAAGAGAAGAGCTTACATGCTCGCTTGCAATAACCATAGGATATATTCTGAAATAAAAGCTTTGTTGTTTGAAACAGCAATGACAAAAAAATATACTTAAAACATCTAGAATATATTTGTGAATTATGAGAAAAAATCTAGAGGTTCATTTTACCTTGCAGCTTTTGCTTCACCTGATCTTGGCATAATCGGGGCTGCTAGATATTTTCTCTCTTCTTTTAAAATACTTTTTTGTCTATATAACTGTTATTGTTTGTTTGTTTGTTTTTTGTTTTTTTGTTTTTTGTTTTGAGTGCCATCATTGGTTAAGACTCATAACACTTAAAGTCATAAGCATTGATTTTGTTTTCTTATCTACTAATCCTAAACAAGCTGTCTATGTAGCTATGAAATTAAAGGTATCTGTTGGAGCCAGTTGGCTCCTGGGTGTTGTGGATAGCCTTGGCCTTGTATTTTGATACTAATTCCACTTTTCTATGAAAGGCTGCAGAGGAGGAATGAGTCATTACATAAGTGATTCTAGTGAACCTTCTGCCCATCTTAATTTGTAAAACAAAGGCTGGAGCCAGTGATTGGGCAGGGAAAGGGGAGGTGGAGATATAAAGGTTGGTGGGAAGAGAGCAAGGGGAGGATGATAACAGAGATGACAGAGACAATGATGACTGGGGAGAGAAGAGAGAGAAGAAGACTGAGGAGAAGAGAGGAGAGAGGAGACGACAGAGGATGATGGAGGAGGACAATTGAGAAGCAGGAAGTAGAAGGACAAACGTAGGGTCTCGAAAACCCTCAAGTTATAAGTGTCTCATAGCTGGGAAACAGAGTAGTGTAGGGGTATCTATCCAATCTCAGCTTACAGAATATATTCATAATTACTGAGTTGTGTTTTCTTTGACCGGTCTTGATTGGGTTGGAGATTTATATTTCACGCACTACACCTGGGAGACTCTTGCATCCCTGGAATCTGGAACTTTCTAGTGGCTACCCTCAGTTCCCCATCCCCCACTGCTACACTCGTCAGTTCAATTTTCTAACCCTCTGTATTTCTCTCCTGTCTCGTCTCACACCTAATCCTGTCTCAATCTTCCCTCCCTCCTCTCTCCTTCCCAGGTCCTTTTCCCTCTACCTTCTGTAATTATTTTGTTTCTCTTTCTAAGTAGGACTGAAGCATCCACACTTTGGTCTTCCTTCTTCTTGGATTTCACATGGTCTGTTAGATGCTCCAACATGTAACAAGGGCACATTCTCACTATGGCCATAGCAGCCTTATTCATGAAATTCTTACGCAAGTGTATAGAACTAAAAAGTATCATCCTGAGTGAGGTAACCCAGTCACAAAAGAATACATATGGAATGCACTCACTGAGAAGCAGATATTAGCCCAAAAGCTTGGAATACCCAAGATACAATCCACAGACAACATGAAGCTCAAGAAGGAAGACCAAAGTATGAATGTTTCAGTCATTCTTAGAAGGGGGAGCAAAATACTCAAAAGAGGAAATACAGAGACAAAGTTTGGAGCAGAGACTGAAGGAAGGCCATCCAGAGACTGCCCTACATGGGGATCCATACCATATACAGACACCAAACCCAGATACTATTGCGGATACCAAGAAGTGCTTTCTGACAGGAGGACAGCTGATATAGCTGTTCCCTGAAAGTCTCTGCCAGAGCCTGACAAATACAGAGGTACATGATCACAATCAACCATTGGCTTGAGCAAGGGATCCTCAATGAAGGACTTAAAGGAAGTACTGAAGTCTCTGAAGGGGTTTGCAACCCCTAGAACAAATAACAATATCAACCAACCTTACCCACAGAGCTCCCAGGGACTATACCACCAACCACAAAGTACATATGGAAGTACCCACGACTCCAGGTGCATATGTAATAGAGGATTGCCTTATCTAGAGTCAGTGGGAAGGTAGGCCTTTGTTTCTGTGGAGACATGATGCCCCAGAGTAGGGGAATGTTAGGGTGTTGGGGTGGGAGTGGGTAAGTGGGTGGTGGAGAACCTTCTTAGAAGCAGGAAGAGGGTGAGTGGGATAGGAAGTTTGTGGAGGGGAAACCAGGAAAGGAGATAACAATTGAAATGTAAATAAATAAAATAGCATATAATAAAAAAGAATTCCTTAGAATACTGAATTATTATTCCCAACTCTCAAAAAATACTTAGCCAGGAATCTGAAAACACTGAGAAACTTGCCCTCCACCATTGTATGTCACAGTTCTAAAATGCATAATTGTTTCTAAATAAATAAGCTTTTTAATTTAAAAATAAAGCAAAAACCAACAAGACAAAAATATGCCAAGACAAGAATTCTATAATCCCCAAATAAAACCAACAGACTATGGCCACATCTTCAATAATGAGCCTCTTGTAGCCACTTTATATTTAAACTGTAACAACCACACACAGAGAAACAGACAGACAGACAGACAGACACACACACACACACACACACACACACAAGTTATTGACTTCTTTCATCATCTAGTACTTTTCAAAGATTAATTTGGCAATTCTCATCAGTGGGATTAGCAATGCATATGAAGTTTAACATTGATTTTTCTGTTCCTTTTCAAATCATGCAAAATATTCAGTGAAGGACAGCGGAAAAGTTTATTATTGTTCTGTGACAGCTGACCAAAGATATAATATTCAGATGCAAATCACAGAACACATAGGGACTATCTGTCTGTGTTTCCTTTCATGATGTTTCTTGATAGGATTAAGATATTCTCTCTCTGTCTCTCTCTCTGTCTCTCTCTCTGTCTCTCTCTCTGTCTCTCTCTCTCTGTCTCTCTCTCTCTCTCTCTCTCTCTCTCACACACACACACACACACACACACACACTTCTATTTATGCCTCCTATCCAGAATCAAGAACACCCCTCCCCCAAATAAAACAATGTTCCTTTAGAGATTCTCAAGTGTTCTTCATATTCTTCAGAGAAGGAAATTTCTTTGAAGTCTTTGAGGCTTTCTGGATCTCACAATAATATGCCCTTTGGAGACACTGTGTTTAGAGAGTGGCTACTACAAAACAGAAACGTGAATTGTAACTTCCATATCCTCAAGAGGCTTGAAAGTGAAAAGTGCAAAAGGTGAACAGCTGATAATTCTGTGCCATAAACATCATTAACAAAAAGCATTTAAGGAAAGAGGTAGCCCTACATTCAAATGTAAAGATGTTATGGTTTCTTTTGTTTGTACTTGGCCTTTGTTGCCTTTTTAGAATTTGCTGTGTACCTGTGAATATTTAGCTTTGAATATATGTGTAAATGGTACTTTTGAAATGTTCTCATTAATCTTTTGTAGACTAAGTATGAAGAACAATTAGCTTTGAAGATGAAGGATAATTTTCTTATCTACTGAAGAAATATATTGGTATATACCCATAGATTTTTAAATCTTATTCTTCTTAAACAGTAATAGAATTTTCCACATGGAAAAGAGAAATCTAATCTTGAAAATGTTTTGAGTAGTTAAATTTGTCAAGCCTGATTTATAGTCTTTCATTACATTTCAGGTGTTCATGTTAAGAAAATTCAGAAAGATAAGCTACTCAGAAGGGTAGCTGTGTGATGAAGAGTATTAGACACTAATCAGAAGATCATCTATAAGTCATGTGCTGGTAATGTTCATACTACTATCTTGTAGGTATTCAATGTTAACTTGTTATTTTTAAATTATTAATGCAGATGTTATCAAAAATAGAACCAATTGGCCTAGAGTCTGATATTACATGTAAGTTTTTCCAATTGCTAGATATTTTTTTATATTTGACTCTTTTGGAACACATTTTCTCCAGAAATAAAGCATAAACTTCAAATACAAATCTGATCTATTTTTTTTTTAAGAAATGAAATGTTTACTATGCTTTGTGAAGGTGCTATTACTTGTACACTTTTTTAGGTTAAGTTCTGATGTTTCAGGGATTAAATGGAAGACAAAGATTAGGAAGATATTCTCAAAACATTAGATATTTAAGACTTCTATTGTTATGTAATAAAAAAACAACTCAAATAAAAATTTTTAATCAATATAATAAATAATTACTTCTAAAGTTCTATATATTTAAAGCCTCAAGTAGTCACAGAGGTCACTTTTACTGAAATTATAAAATATGGAAAGTAAAGATTAATACTCTATATGTTGTTTGGAATGAAGGATATAATTTTCATAGAGGTGTGATTAGTAAATTAAGATTTATGTTCATGTAGGAATTCCTTTTGCCTATCATTTAACTTTTGTCAGCAGAGACAGAGGTGAAGTATTTGGTTCTTGCCCTTCTCCTCCTTTAATAGCCTGATTATAGAGCTTGATAGTGTACCTACAGAATAGAAAATAATATACATGGAAGTACAAATAAGTCTCAAAGCAGATTCAAACTAATATTGTTTTTTTACTACAAAGCTTATACATTGATTATATACAATCTTCAAATTTGTTGGCTACACATACACTGTGTAGACTTCAAATCATCTTTGAATTACAGGTATTTTTCCTGAAGTTTTTATACACTGTTAATCAATCTAGATTTGCATAAAGATGATCTTTTATACTAATGTATAGATGAAAATGCAAACATTTTTTCTTTCTTTACAGTCTCCATAAAAAGTTACTATATTTTTACCTTCCTAGTTATCTTCAGAGCATAACCCAAATAGAATATTTTATTTACATCAGTAAGTGACTCTCATGTCTCTACCTCTTTGCCATAATATTTCTTGGAATATTTCTCATCAGTCATATGATTCTCATTTAAAAACTTTTAAAGGTCACAAATATTTTCTTCTAGAGAGTATTAAGGTAGGTACTCTATTTAATATTGGAGAGAAAGAAAACTCTACTGAAATACATAAAAGTTTTGAATAAACTATACAACAGGAAGCAAAAATAAGATGTATTTTCCACATTATATTATTTTCTTGTTTCTAAATTTTGCACACAAAAGGAGAACATTTTGTTTTTATTGAAAAATAGTAAAGCTAGTTTATGTTTTAAGAGACAAAAGCTCTTAACGTTATTACTAGTAAGACAGATTATTAGGGATAATCAATAAAGAACCATTTGAAATACAAAGTTTAATTTCCAAATACCAAGGAATTTATATTGATTTATAAATTATCAACTGGAGTATTTTACAATAATGTCCAATATTTGTTTAAAATGCTTATGTAGTTGTTATTACATTGAAAATATTTTGGCTAAATCCTTTTTCCATAGATCCTCAATAATTCTTGTATGGACTATAATAAATGGAATGCAAGAGGAATATATCAGAATTTCTTCTCATGGGGTTGTCTTCCAAGCAGAACATTGAAATGTTTTGCTTCATGTTCTTCTTATTCTGCTACTTTGCCATCTTGTCTTGGAATCTGCTGATCCTTTTCTCTATTAGATGCAGTTCTCTGTTCAACCAACCTATGTACTATTTCCTCAGTCATTTATCTTCTATGGACATTTGCTATACTTCCTGTGTGACACCCAAATTAATTGGGGATCTGCTTGTAGGAAGAAAAACCATCTCCTATACAAACTGCATGGTACAGGTCTTTTTCATGCACTTCTTTGGAATGATTGAAATTTTAATCCTGACAGCCATGGCCTTTGACCGCTGTGTGGCCATCTGCAGACCCCTTCACTACATGGTCATCATGAGCAGAACCAGGTGCCATGTCCTTATCTGGGCTTCCTGGGTTGGTGGGGTTGCTCACTCCTTTCCCCAGGTTATGATGCTAATCTGTTTGCCCTTCTGTGGCCCAAATGAAATAGACCACTACTACTGTGACATTTTCCCTTTGCTGAAAGTTGCTTGCACTGATACCTACATCACAGGTATCCTCATGGTTGCCAATTCAGGAAGTGTTGCCTTTGTAATCTTTGTTATTTTGTTTGGCTCATATGTGGTTATACTCTTCACATTAAGGAATTACTCAGCAGAGGGAAGACGCAAAGCTCTTTCTACCTGTGGATCCCATATCTCTGTGGTTATTCTATTCTTTGGGTCTTCTATCTTTGCTTACCTGAGACCTCCTACTACTTTCCCTGAGGACAAAATATTTGCCCTGTTTTATACTATTATTGCTCCTATGTTCAACCCCCTCATATATACTCTAAGAAATACAGAGATGAAGATGGCTATAAAGAAAGTTTGGTGTCAGACAACATTTTTAGGGGAAAATCACAGTTAATTTGCTTTATTAATAGGATGTTAAAACCTATGTTAAACACTGCACAACTATTAAAGTGGCTTTATCATAAAGATGAACAATTAATGTCTTAACTGTTCCAAATTTTGCTCATACATAATTAGCAAAAATGAGAATATGAAGAATAATTACTAACAAATATTTTACTTTGCAACCTACTAAGAAAATGAACATTGAAATTATTCTGGATTAAATAAATGATATTTTTAATTCATAAATAGTAAACCTTATTTTTTATTTTTTCCTACTCTGCTTTATACCATTTTAATTACATACATGTATTAAGGTCAGTTAGGTTGAGGAACTAGCAATACAATAGATGTAAATAGTCAAGGAACAAGTAAGACAATAAACACAAATAGTCAAAAAAACAAGCAAGGCAATAAACAAAGTCCTGTTACACAATCATTTCCCATACTGATTTAATATTACAGCTTCTTGACTTGATTTATTACATGATGATAAACACTTTTTCATGCACAGTTTAGGAATAGATTAAAACTGCCTTCAGAAGAAATGTTATAGTAATGAACTTTGTATTGTGACAGGATTTGTAAATAACCCTTATAAACCCTTATATTTGTTTCTCTGAAACAAATCATTCTATGAAATATGAAAAGAAGAGAGAGAATTTGAATGATTCTGACATCAAAGATTCATAATGAATTCATCTGAGAGTTGCTAGATTGCCTACTTAATAAATGTTGTAGGCACATACATTAGCTTTATGAGTGGTTCCATTTATTGGCACAAACAATGGTTTTATGAATTGTTGCATTCTTAGCCAATGGATTTATGAATGTTAAAAGGTTTAGGGTGAATTTATGAGCTTGTCTTTTTAAACATCCTCAGCTTGTAAAAGCACTGAATAAGAAAACATATTTTTCTTCTTCTCAATAAAACTTATTTAGTTGAGGAGTGCTATGAATACATGTTTGGGGAAAAGCAGCACATGCCAGATTGTCTGGATACATTTATATGAGAAAAAAAATCTGTCTTATTTTGATCAAATGTTATAGTGCCACAAATTTTTTTCTATTTTTGTAAAGTTTAATCTATTGTTAACATATAAAGTAATGTTATGCATTGTGGTCTTTTGACACACACAGTTCTCTCCCTTCCCTCTAGACCTCTTGGGAGCTTCCTATCCTTTCTCTGATTTGTTTTGTTTTTAAATTATTTTCTTAACAATGTATTTGGAGCATATTCTTTCTTGGTTCTAACTCCTCCTAGAACCTCCATGCCTCTCTACCCATCCAACATCATGTTCTCCCCCATCTTTCTCTCTCTTACTCAAAAAAATCAAAATCAAAACAAAATAGACAACAATAAGTCAAAATACCAAAAACAAAAAAAGTATACTAACCCCCTGGAATACATTTTGTTTTGGCTAAGTACTAATGACAATGGGGCCTATTCTGGAGTACTGTTAAAATACTCGGTTACATTCCATTGGAGAAAAACTAACAAACAAACAAGATTTCCCCTTTCCCAGTAGGAATCAATTGGAAATAGCATCTTTGTTAGGAAAGATTTCGTGTCTGCTTCCACTTTGCCTTTACGGGATTTAGTCCAGAATGAACATGTACAGGTCTTGACTTGCTCTCATAGTTTCTGTGCCTTCACTTGTGTATCAGTCCTATTGTTTCTGAATGGTGCTTTTTCTTAGCATCATTTACCACCTCTGACTCTTACAACTTTTCTGTTCCTTTTTTGGCACATGTGCTGAGCCTTGAGGGGAGAGAGTTAACAAAGAGATTTAATTCAATTCTAAGTGTTCCAAAATTTCTCATCTTCATATTGTTCAGTTATAGGTCTCTGTTTAAAACCACCTACTACAAGAGGAGGCTTCTCTGTTGAGGGCTGGGTGCTGCACTGATTTACCAATATAAAAATTATGTCATTGAGAGTCATTTTACGTTATGCTTCCTTATCATAACAGCAGTAGCCGGTTCCTTTCTCTTAAACTATTTTTATGTTACATGTATTCCACTGCTTTCATTTGTCCCAAATTCCTTGTTCCTTTATAGCTTATTTTCTTCATATTTTACTTTCTTCTTTTATATATTTATATGCTTTTCTAGGCTCACTCCTTCCCCCTAAAACCTATTTTCTTCAGTTTTAGTGGGAATCACTTACTTGCCTAACAACATAAAGCAATATATACATTTCATGGTTGATAATCATTTTATATCTATTTTCAAAGCATTCCATGATTGCCATTCCTAGGACCTAAATGTGCCCACTTCATCATATAATCAGGCAGATTCTATGAAGAATACGTAGCTTGAATTAGTGGAGCTAACAAAAGGATGCAATGTAGATACTGCTTTGGTAACTCTTAGACCTGTCAATATTACCCAAGTGACCATTGCCTAGGGTCGACTGTCCTCGACCTATATACATTTATTTCAACATTAATTTCAATTTATACTCTCACAAAAGAAATAGCTTATCCATTTATGTTTCTCATGGAAGAGTCCATGGACTTTTTATTTCAATGATCAGGCTCTTGAAGGTGTTGGAATTGTATCTCATGTTACTTAGAGCTGCCTAACAAAATGATGTGTAGACACTGGGCCATTCTCTAGGATGGTAACCTTGTAAACTTTCCCTTTATCTCAGTATCTCCCTCACCTAATCTGTACTTTCATTTCTTTATTCATAAGAATAATGCAGGTTTCAATATAAAGAACATACTGGATACTCCATTTCAGCTTTTATGTATCTATAATAATCAAAACTAGAACAGGAATTAAGACTGTGGTTCTCATTATTGTATTACATAACTACATTCTATTTAATGAATTTAAGCTACTTTTATATATCAATAGATATACCTGCACACCAGTTTAAGTAAATTTGTTAGCTAGACAAATTCAAAAGTTAGACAAAAGCTAAAATTCTTCCTCAAGATCTATTATTTGTCTTAATTCATAATTATTTGAACTTTAAACAAATAAACTTGTTTACTTAATTATTTATTCATCAATTGATTCATTCCTTGTTTTTCTTTCTTCTCCCCTCTTTTATTGAAAATATAATATTTCTCATAATATAATCCTGAATGATATTTGGATACATAAAATATTCATTCCTTTCCTTTATAGCACAGCATACCTCTTCCTAATCTCCTAGAAATATGTTCTTTCTGGATTTCAGAACTTTAATCATTTTTTCAATATTCTGCTGTTAATTTATTAAAATCTTCCAATGTGAACTCTCATAATGTCTGGAATTCAAAGTAAAAAAGTAAAAACACACTCTCCTCCTATGTGTGTTTCCTGGAGACTTACTGGATCTTCCTTATTTCTTTTGTTTTCAAGATTTATTTTATAGTAAGAAAAGTCGAGCTATGGTTTCTCAACCAATTCATTGAGAAAATTTTTGCTTTTTAATACAATTTTAACAAATTTCAAGAAGAAGGTCTTGGGTTTTGCTATTTGTATTTTGTGCTTTTAAATAAAATTAAGTGGATTTAGTTTATATCAGGGAACTTTTTCTATAACTCTCACATTTTTATTTTCATTTAATGCCTTTTATTGCACCAGGTGCTAGTGTGTGTTTATGGAAGAAGTATACTTGCTATTAATTATATCGATTATTATAAATAGTAATATTTAAATTATTATGCTTCAATATTGATGTTTCTTCTTCCCACTGTGTTAACAGGGGTAGCTATAGCCTCAGTTAGACTTAAACTCCCAATCCTTCTACTTCAGTCCCCAACATACTATGTAACAGTCATGTTAGACCATGATAAGAAATATTGGTATTCTTTATATTATAATCTTAGACTACACTAATTTTAGCCTAAATCATAAGGATTATTGATATGGTATGTGAGATTATGCAAGGAATAAATAAACAAAAGTATGTGCATGGACATGGTGTGCGTGTGTGTGTGTGTTATGTATGTGACAATGATAAAGAAAAGAGGCTCTTGAAGGCCTCTGAGGAGACATCCATATCAGGCCCTTATCGGCATGCACTTCCTGACTTCCACATAAGCATCTACCTTTGGTGACTGGACATGGGATGGATACTCAGGTGAGAAGGTCTTCAGATGGCCCCTCCTTCAGTTTCTGTCCCTCACTTTGTCTCCATATTTGCTCCCTTGAGTATTTTGTTGCTCCTTCTAAGACGAACTGAATCACCCCCACTTGGTCTTCCTTTTTTATGAGCTTCATGTGGCCTGTGGGTTGCATCTTGGGCATTTCAAGGTTCTGGGCTAATATCCAATAATCAGTGAGTGAATACCATGTGTGTTCTTTTGTGATTGGCTTACTTTACTCAGGATGATAATTTCTAGTTCCATCCATTTACCTAGGAACCTCTCGAATTCATTGTTTTTAATAGCTGAGTAATACTCCATTGTGTAAATATACCACATTTTTTGAATCCATTCCTCAGTTGAAGGACATCTGGGTTCTTTCCAGCTCCTAAGAGTCTGACATATCAAGAGTCTGACATATTCAGAGGCAGATGCTCACAACTAGCCATTGAACTGATCATGAGGTTCTCAATGGAGGAGTTAGAGTGAGGACTGAAGGAGCTGAAAGGGTTTGTGGCACCAGGAGGAGAGCAACAATACCAACCAACCACAGCTCCCAGGGTCCTAACCACCAGCCTGGGAGCACTTATGGAGGGATCCAGGGCTTCAGCTGAATATGTAAGAGTGGAGGGCCCTGCCGGGCACAGGTGGTAGATGAGATCCTTGACCTCATGAAGGCTGGACGCCTCAGGGGGTGGGAATTTTGAGGGTGGGGAAGTGGGAGTGGGGGGGTTGGTGGGGGTTACATCCACGGAGAAGAAGGAGGAGGGGTAAGGGGATGGGGGGTTCCCGGGTGGGTGGGGGATGGGGTAAGGGGATAACATATGAAATGTAAATAAAATATCCAATAAAAAAAAAAAAAGAAAAGAGGCTATCAACTTGAATGAGGGAGAAAAAGGAGAAATTTGAAGAAGGCTGTATTAGAGTA